AGCTGCCGTCTGGCTGCAAGCTCCAAAGCCACTGAGAGGCCAGACCACTAGACCATCTTCAGTGAAACTGAGCTCTGAAGCACAACTGCAGGTGGGTTGCAAGCTGCCAGAAGAGCCGCAGCTAGCGTTGCCTTCTGCTCACTCTTCCGAGCTTTTTTCCCCCCAATATATTTGTCATTGGCTTCATTTAAGAGATATAAGGAAAACTATCCATGCCTTATTGGTTTCCTCATCTTCCAAAAGACTTTCAAAATACGTAGCAATGGTTAATTTTGCCACTATTTAATTTTTTTTTTTTTTTTGCACCCTTACCTTCACTCTCCCTTACAAAGATGATGGTCTTTATTCACACCCAAAGGCTGCCTGTAGGTAGCAATGTCATACTGGTAGCTGTTTTCATACCTCCCTGTCTGGAGCAGGACCCTCGTTATTGCTGGTAAATCGGCATCAACAAGTCAAGGGACAGTCAAGAGAGAGACTTGGAGAGCGGTCGTGCATCCCATGCAGGGACATCAGGGAAGATTATTCACGTTCAAAACACGCAGCAGTAATTGCTGTTAAGACTGGCAGAGTTCAGGCACTTTTCTCAGTTGTTCCTGGTGGACTGTCAGATGTCAGCCACTGTGCCAAAGGAGTGGGTCATAAAAATAATTCCGCTGTAGCTCCTAGAACAAAGCTCTGGAAACTCTGTTGCCAAGAAATGTGAAAACACCAAGGGATGACAAAGCAGTTGCTACAGAAAAATGCCGCGTTATTCAGAATAATTCACACAGATCACTTGATTCTGACAGCAACTAAAAAGGTGTTTTAAGATTCACCCACAAGTGAAGTGACTATCTTGCCAGTAATAGATTAACTCCTTTTTCAACTCAGGAAATAATTAAAGACTTGATTGAAAAATAATGTCTTTCTCTCTGAGGCCATTGATGCCTCTAACCACGGAAATATCAAATAGTTTCTAGTAGTAGAGGTTTGAGGGAGATGCCTGTGTCTACTAATACTTTGAATGTAAGGAAATTATACTTACATAATTATGCTAAAGTTATGTTAAAAATCAAATGACTTGACTTCTGAAAGCATCTTTTATGGCTTTTGCCACCATCATTTATGACTTTTTATGCTAGAGGTCATTTTGAAAGGCATCACTTTGTCAACTAACAAAAGAATTCCAAGTAGTTGCCCTCACAGCACAAAAAAGCCTGCTAGAGACAAGTCAGTATGTGTCCTTGAAGGCCGAGCAACAAAAAGTCTCCAGGCAATTTTTCTTTCCTCGTCAGGTAGAGGATGCAGGACCAGGAGAGATGCTCCACCTCTCTGATGTCCTTCAGCATTCAGATAACTTCAGGCTGATTTTCAGATCTAGGGCTTTCCCCTGTGTAGCTCCGAGTGATTTTACTATCTGCAGCTCAGGTAGGACAGAGTTTAGGGACCTCTTGTCTTGCCCCTGCCCGCTCTGCTGCTCGAAACATCCCATCTTCCCCGGGCATCACTGGGTGTCACGAGTGGGTGCACATGGAATAAAAACTGCCAGATGACCCCTGAAGCCGCCTGCAAGGCAGAACTTTCCCAAAGACCCGGACGAGTTCAAAATCTGAGGAGGAATCTGGCACTTCATGAGCTTTACAAGCTGCCTGAAGTGTGACTAAGGTGTCACACAACCACGCGACTGTGATTAATGCATGTTGCGTTTCACTGAGTCCAATTTGAGACAGGTTTGGGCCCAAGGCCAACCCCATAGGCTTGAGTGTGACTTTTCCCTGCCCACCTCCCCCTCCCTGCAGAGATACAGGGACAGAAATATGACGTGAAACCAGATCAATGTCGTATGAAAGAAGAAAGCCTTGCAACCTAGCCTGGGGAGAGCAATGGGGGGTTGAGACCGACCATCTAAACAAGGCAGGACTGACTCCTCCGAGCCTGGCCACTCTCAGTTACAGACGTGGATTTACCACAAAGGAACTGGCAGAGGAAAAATAAAATCTTTGTTTCAAAATGTTCACGTGTATCCTAGCGTTACCTGTACGATTGTACTATGTAGGACAACAGTATCAGCTAAAACTCAAAAAGAGAAGCCCAATATACTGCTAAAGCAAAATCACCTGACCTTGCACATCTGCAAAGAAATGCCACAGCAGAACGGATGGATCAAAGATGGAAAATAAGCCTCTCATGCTCAAGCAGGAATAATTTTCTCTGCCCAAGTATAACCTTAGAATAAAGAGAAACTAAGGTCCTAAAGATGCAGGAAAGGGAGAAGGCTGCTTAAGAAAATATTTATGGTTTTATCCCATACAAGCAGATGATTTTTTTTTTTTTAAACTAAATGTCACAACAAGCTACTTCATAAGTGCTCTCTGTGAGAGAGAACAAATTGAGTTAGCTGGAAACTAAAATATCTTCCACTCAGCAAGAGATAGAGGAGAAAAACCCATTCGTGGCCGCACGAAAGGCTGTGGCAGCATCCCAGCTTGTCTTGCCTCCTACAGCGTGCCTGGTAGGAGAACAGGTTTCGGAGATTCCCATGTTTTTCCTGTGAGGGGAAGCCTTTTCTTGCTTAGTTACTATTTACTTGGAAGCCTGTGGAAGCTTTTTTTTTTTTCTTCTCTTCTCATCCAGACTCTTTTGGCAAGATATTGATTTTTTATAATGAAATAAACAAAGGAGAAGGGAAAAGAAAAAGAAAAAATATCCATAAAATTCAAGCTAATGTGTAATTCCAGTGCCCGTGGGATCCTCAGATAATTGAAGATTAAGTTGTCCTTGCCGCAGGGTAGATAGGTGATAGAAAGGACCTACCTGAAGAGACTTAATGCTACATGGAGTCAGGGAAAGCAAATGCTGCTCCTAAGGTCGCTCCAGGTCCTCCTGTAGCCAGGCTGCCCCTCCAGGCCTTGGACACAGGTCATTTTATTGCTTCCAGCACTCTCTGCCCTCAACAGCTTTGCAACCCAAGCCTGATCTCTTTCAGTGAAACATCTCTGTGCACATCAGCATCACCAATATAGTTTACCAGTGTGCAAATACACAAGCTCAGAGTCCTTGCCACAAAGTTAACTAAAGAATCGAGAAAAAGCCAACAAATACTAAATACCAATTTCAATTGATAAGTTTGTATACTATCATCTGCACTGCTTTTTCCTCTCATTTCTTTTTTGGTGTCTTCAGAGAACAGGTCCATCTGACAAGCATTTCATCCTGGCTCCTGCTGTTGTGGTTATAGGATAACATCTATATTGGTGCTGGTACAGCTGGGATCCAGCAGCAGTTGACAGCTCACAGAGCACCAGAAACAGTCTGATACAGTATATTCTTCTCAGTCCTATTGTACCAGAAGCTTTTAAGTAATTAGTTTTCCCTCATTAACAGTAGCACTATCAGGGGAAAGCAGAGCAACGCGGTCTTGCAAAGGAAGCACAGAGCTGCAAAGTGGAGCACGGGAGGAGCGCAGCATGATTGCAGCATTCAGCAAAATACATCAGCAAAGCAAATCTTGAGGTGCCATTTGGACAAGCTTTGACACCATAATAGCAATAAAAACATTCATAGGACAATACCACAAAACTCATGTATTTTAAATCAGAGAGGGGGACTAAATGTATCCACTTCACTTCCATGGTGATCTATATGTACTCCGTGAGACATACAGGTCATGGTCATTTTATGTCAAAGTTGGATCCTAACCACTTTGAGAGAAGCAAAGCCTATATACTCCCCATATCAAAAAAGACTCTTTATTCTATGAATACTGTTACCAAGGTGAGTAGTACTATTCCACGGCAAGCACATTTCTGCAATAAATTGCGTGCGGTTTGTACCTTCTTCCTGACACATGTAATGCATTATTCCATTTTTCTCTTTTATCCTTGTAGAAGCAAAATAGACGTTTCGTAAAGTCTAATTTAATATTATCACTTTAATGCATTCAAACACATCACTAAGAACTGTGTTGCTAAAAGTACATTACAGAACAGCTAGGTAAGACAGATATAGTTATCTCCTTGGAAAACATAGGCCCTGCACTCCAGCGCCTGCTGGTGTAGGGTTCCTCCCATGAATGAGAGTTATTCCCCTGATTATGGAGAGCAGGATTGTACCTGTAGTTTGCATAGCTCCTTTCATGTACATATCCCTATTTTCACTTTTTTTTTTTTTTAAATACATAAGACACTTAACACCATGCTATACTTTTATCCCTTCAAGATGTTAGTGTCTTTTGGATGACATATAAAAGGTTTTTCTGAGGAAAACAAAGAAAAAGTACAAGAAGCAGTACCTGTACTACCTAGCTAAAAACAAGCAGGTATAAAGAGGAGGAACTTACAGTCTTACTTTTTAAATCAAAACTTTTTCATGTTTTTCACCGCCCAGTAAGTCTAGTCTGACTTCCTGCTGTACACACAAAATTTATCTCTTTTCTAGCCTTAGAAAAACAGATTAAGTTACTAATGATTTTCAACTATTTCGCAATGCAACAGCATAGTTAATGCATCATAAGAATGTCATATGAGTTTCAGTTTCTGTTCCCAAACTAATCAGAAATGTACTTAGCTGAATAAAGAGCATCATTATACTTACAGGAAAGAACCAAAATTTCTCATGAAAAGCAATATAATGTTATTCAGCTTCTCCAGTTTGACACTGAATTATATTAGCCTCAGTTTTCGTTGCAATAAATCAAACTCAGATCATAAATATATTCAGTTTTAATAGTGAGCTAAAGCCATTTGAATTCCAGGAAATATATATTAAACCATACAAGGTAATATAAAAAAGTTTGATTTTAATTTCAATGTCGGTTCTGTAGATAGCATTTATACATATTCTGGGGTTAGAAGTAAAGGTGCTGAATGCCTTTTCAGGATCCTTTAGGTCATTTTAAAAGCAGAAAGACTGCAGATTGTTTTTTAGAAAAAGTGCTAAAAAGCTCCAGGCTCTGTGTTCCGCGACCTGCAGGCTGCTGACAAGAGCACCCCAAAACATCAAGAGTTGCACCAACTTACCAAAGCAGCAAGTCTTCCTCCACGAGCAGTAGTTCAGGGTGAAGTAAATCTGAGTTACGAAGGACTCCGTGCCCGGGGTGCCCTTGGTCCCCGTCGTCCCGCCGAGCTCCGCGGGTCGCCGCTCTCCGGAGGGCATCGCCGTGCGGGAGGGCTCCGGCACGGCCGGGCCCGCGGCCACTTGTTGCAATGGTGACAGGCGAAGCCAGGCTGTGCCCGCGCGGCCGCGGCGCTCTGAATAATTCATGCATCGCCCGGGCGGCGCCAACAGGGCCCTTCGTTGCAGCCTTTGTCTCCAGCAAGAGCTCGCCCCAATTAACGAGGGTTATCTGCCATGCTAAAGCCCAGGCCCTTTCGGTTTATTTAGCCTGACTGCTTGGAATTTGTGCCTCTAAACGCATTGCTGGAATATAAATTCTGACGGGCATTTCCACCCTTGCTCAGGCAGGCACGAGTCCACCCGGCTACAGCAACAAGATCTAGCTGCAGCCCATGAATGTTTCATTTGCTTGACTTAAATATTGAAGGCAGGCTCTTTGTTCGAGCACTTCTTGAGCAGAGTGACAGGAAATCTAGAAGCATGTGCTTGCATGTGCTTTTGCACATATTTCTGCAATGACCTCTTGCACTGCTAAATAACTAACACCTGCCTCGCAAAATGTAGATGTCCTACACCTGACTGCCTGCTAGAACGAGCTGCTGAGTACAGCTGTGAGCTCTGCATTTCCTAGGCCCTTCTCCAGAAGCTGTGCTTTAGCCAAACACAAAAAGACTCAGGACAGACATAAAGAGGGAAAATGTGCAGTCAATAAAAAAAAAATCCTTAAAACCACTTGCTATTACAAATGGTGCAGCCTGTAGTGCACATCTAATATTGCCTGGTTATAGTGATTTCTGTAATCTTTAAATCACAGAGCCTTACACTGATTTCAAGATTTATTCAGAACAGCATTACATTTTCATGGAAATTAGGCTGGTGGAGGTTTCCTGGAAATCTTCATAATATTTCCTGCTATGGATTTCTAGAGTAACCCAATTGGACTCATCTCTTCTTCCACCATTTTCTCATGGCTCTTGTTCCTGCAGGGAAGGTTTCTTAAAGAAAAAACCCTTGCAGCATAAGAATATGAAATCATTTGATTTTGCCTGAGTTCTTGCACATAAAACTTATTTGTAGCTCTGACATTTTTATTATAGACTATTTTAGACATGCCACAACTTTATTCAGCTTTTGGTGTGTGTGGTATTGAATGACTAAGGACTTAGATTGCCAGCTTAAAACTGCAGCAGAAATAGAAAAGTCTGTGAAAATTTGCTAGATTTTGGCATGGACTAGAACTTGCTGTTGCTTCCATATTGCAAACGTGATAAGGTTTTGAGGAGTTGAACATAGCGATCCCTTCTGCGTTTACATCCTCTTATGGTGGACTTCTAACAACAGGTGAAGAGTCTGCTTTCACCCAAAATAATGCTACTTCTTCACCTACACTTAGCGTTAAAATTGTCCCTTAGGCTATGTGCAGCTTTAAAGGAAAGGTTAGGAAGAAAGGGAGAAGATAACCACACAGATACTGGCCAACTCAATCCTTTGAAATGCTTCCCCTCAGGCTGTACCCAGACAGAAATTGAGCCAGGGCTGATCTTCATTCAGTTTATATAATGCTATCTCTGGCTGCAGCTGTGGAGAGGGATTACGCTGGTCGATATCAGCAGAGCAGGTTCAGGAGCGAGGCTGGCATGTCCTGCAACCTCTCTGAAGGTCTCCAGGTAGATGGCGCAAAGCAAAGAGCATGGAGAAGGTCTACGGAGAAGGAAAGCATATAAAGCATATAGCTGTGTACTGATGTACATTAATTTTCCCTGAAAAATTGATTGGCACAGCTGTTGCTCAGACTATCTGTGCAGCCTATGCCATGAATGCGAGCCAGAGACAAATTGGGGTTGACTGTGCTTGAAAGCTACAGAAATGTTGACTAGCATGAGCAGGAAGATGGGGTTCCTATCCATTGCCATCAAAATATCATCTGTTAGTGCTGTTGACAGTTTAATAGCTACTCCTGTACAGTGGAGGGCATTGTGAAGTACTGCCACTATATTATTAATCCAGACTGGAAATTTCCCTGCAAATGCAGAGCAAAAACCATGTATATGGAGCTTCTGAAATATATTGAGATTAAAGATCTATGCCATTCACATCATGAATGTTATCCTTCTAATTGGTTTTCATGGTGGGCAAAATAATAATTTAACTGCCAATTACCCTGTACTATATATTTTCTTTTCTTTTCTTTTTTTTTAGATCAGATTGATTGCATTGCATTTTAAAGATCCAGAATATGCTGCTCAGTTCAAGTGTAAACCAAACATTTTTGATTCCACATGTTTCTTCTGGACAGCGGAGCTGGGATGTGGGTATGAAGGAGCTGTGCAGCCTGTGGGATGAAGCACATAGTGCTTCAAGTGGAGGTCATCAGAGTTACATCCACTTGGCAGATTTTCACTGCTCATCAAAAATGTCATGGGACAAGTTGCATCCATGTATGTAATTATTTCAAATAATCCCTGGAATACCCTGAGTTGTGTCATGACTTGGAAATGGTTGGCATGGCCCAATCTGTCATAGTTCAAAGCAGATATGGATAGTACTGGACGGAGAACACCACTGTGTATCTGTGGAGCAATGGGATGATTGTGTGGCTCCACAGCAGTTTTGGGATTCAGGAGGATGAAGTGTGACTGTCTATTGGTACCTTTAAATTAGGTATCACGGTAGTATCTGTTTTCTGCCAAGGCATTGCAGAAAATCAGTGAGATGTGTCTGGGAGGTGAGCGGATCAATTCTGCACGCTGTCCATGAGCCGACCCCTCCTTGTTGACTGTCTTTCCATGTGTCACTGAAGCTTTTTGGCTTTTCTTTCTGTTTGTTGGCCCCATGGAGAAGCCTGGGAGATGCTCTGACTCCGGCCACCATGCACCAGCGTTGGCCTGAGGGATCTGGTGGGCGAGCAGCTGAGGACCAGGCCATTGGGGTACATCTGGGGACAAGCTCTGGGGAGCAGGAGTCACCACCATCCTGGCGCAGGCTGGATGCCTTCTGCCCTGACATTACCCCCCCATCTGTCTTTCTAGAGTACCAGGAAAAACAAAACATTAGGAAAATGTCAAGCTGTGAAAAGAAAAGTCAAAAGCCAGAAAATCCCGAGTTAATGCCGATGCTTTAACTCAAGTCATTAACTCAGAGGCATGCCCGGGCCTGAGCCGACCTTCCGCTGGTTTCTCTAAGCAGGCACCTATAAAGATCTGCACATCGCAGGGGACACGGGCTGCTGTGGTGTTGGAGCACGGGAAGGGAATAGGGATCGCCAGGATAAGAGGCTGGGGTCACTCGTATGGGGAAGAAGAGGGGCAACCACGGGACACACCTGAAAACTCATGTATGGAAAGGCTGATGTGGCCAGAGAGAAGCTCAGGCAGGATGGACGGACAAGAGAGCTCAGATTTGGTGGAAGTGTGAGGCTATGTTGGATCTAGTCCTCTTTGTCACCAGAGGACCAGGATTCAAATCCCAGCGCCCCTCTCTGCCCAGTGTGTTTCACATATTGTTCCTGGTACTGAGTCCTAGCCTTAACGTTTGCCCACAGCACCTAATGATGTAGCTTGGGTGGGAGAGTTTTGTAAGGGGGATCTAAAGGTTGTTTTTAGCTTGGCACGCATTTGGCTAATATGGCAATCTAGGCTGAGATTCCTGAATTCCTGTTTATTATTTCCAAAATTCCAATTGCACATAAGAGACTAAAGCAGAAACAATTGCTAAGGCTGAAAGAGAAGCACTCAAAAGTAAGGAGCTTCTAAGAAAACTGAGGAGGGAAGGCTTTGCTTTAAGGTTTTTGCAAATGCAATAGCATATATAAGCAAGTGTATGTGTGTGTGCATTGCTCTCTTCTTGAAGATCTTAGAAACGAAACATCTTCATGATTCCTTTTTCAGATTCAAAGTATCTGGTTCTTGAAAATACTTTAAAAATCTTTGAAAAGTTGAAAGCTTGCATTCAGTTAAATAGTTTTTAAGATTAATGACTACAGTATCTTCAACATAATGCACAATTAAAAGCAATCAAACCTAAAATTGTTCTTATTTGAATATTTCTCCCTCGCATCAGTAAGAGCCCATATAGTTTTCAGTGAAATGGGAGTCATAAAAATACATTCTAGAGTTTACAGTTGTTGTAAATACAGATTTATGGGCAATAAGGAACTATCTCTGTGAACCTTCTTGTGCATCTCATTTATTAGGACAAAGCTGAGACATCCTAAGAATGTCTTTAATTAGTCTAAGCCCTTAATTTAACAAAACAAGCATTTTAAACAAATACAAACTACTATTCTCCAAACACCATGTACAGGAAACAACAATTATTTTTGCAAGATAAATGAAGTCACAGGTGAGTTTATAACAACCTAATTAAAGTATAATTTAACCCTACGGGAAAGGATATTTTGCATCACCATTTAACCAAGGGAAAGAAAATATTATCGTTTAATAAAGACTGCAGCACACTTTTTGTTTAATTCCCCTTTTCCTAATAGGTATGAAGATACTTTAGAAACTGCATCCTATTGAGCAAGTTGCTTTGCCTATAAAGACATACAATAAAAATACTTGTGTAATTTTTCCCTTGAATAAACAAGAACATATTTTACTTCTTTCTATTCCATCAGGTAATCTATGCATTAAAAAAGACTGGTGCAATGATGAGAAAATAAAGTTACATAATCAGAGAAAAGTACAGATAAGTTGGCTGAAGGGACAGTTTGCTCGCTCAGAATTGACATGCATTAGGTAGAGGACTAAATATTTACATACAGTGGAATTATTATTTTTTAAATTATATTAGTACATGACATTGCAAGATACTGAGCACTTTCAGCTATGATAAACTGAACTGGAAATGAGGAGACCCAGCACTTTCCTGGATCCAATCCGTAGTTAATTTGGCTGCAATCCAGACCTGGCTCAGTAGCAAACCCCCTTCCTCCCAGTCCCCCTTTGAGTGGCTTTCAAGGTCTGAACTTGGGTGCAGAATACACATTAGTGCACCTGGTGGGAGTACTGGGGCCTAAATTCTTGTGGCCTTTTGCA